TTTTTATATTTTAAAAACTATAGATTGCATTGGTCAGTGTGTTCAGTGGTTAGAGCATCGGCCCGTGCACTGAAGGGTCCTGGGTCTGATTCCCAGTCAAGGGCAGGTACCTGGGTTGAAGGTTTGATACCCAGCCCAGGTTGAGGAGTGTTCGGGAGGCAACCAATCAATGTGTCTTTCTCACATGTATGTTTTTCTCTCTCTCTCTCTCTCTCTCTCTCTCTCTCTCTCTCTCTCTCTTTCCCTCCATTCCATTCTATCTAAAAAAAATGGAAAAATATCCTCAGGTGAGGATTAACAAAAAAAAACTTTATAGATTACATAATAAACATGTAGTAATCGAAAGCTAGTAGTATATGAATGTGAAAATTATGGGAGACAAGATGAGAGCTGGTGTTTCAGGTTTGGCCAAGAGTGAATAATTAATTCCAAAATCACAATAATAATTATCTATACAACATATGCTCATTTAGGAGTATCTATTAGATATACTATTTCAATGAAAAGTCCTTCTTTATATAGCAGAGGGAAATTTTTTTTAAAACTACAGTTAAAAATTGTTATCTATTTAAGTAGACAGATCTAAATTTAAAACATCAAAAGCCTCAACTTACAATATCTTCAGGAAATGAATCAAATAAAGTTTAAAGGTTTTTAGTTAAGGTGGATGACATATACATTAGCATAGGTTACAGCCAAAACTGATAACATATAATGAAGGTATTCTGTAAGACACTGAATTAAAATATAATTTCTGTCCCTAAGGTTATCACACATGATAAATTTGATATATGTGTTTAAAGTATTATCTAAGAATTAAAATTTCTAAAGGTCAAGGGAATACCAGAGATAGATGTTATAGGATTCATTATAACCTTAGGCCTTAAGTACAGATTAAGCAAAAAGGAAAAAACAACAAACCCTGGCTGGAAAGCAAAAAGGAAAAAAAAACCACCCTGGCTGGTGTGGCTGTTGATTGAAACTCCCATACACCCAAAGGTTGCCAGTTGGATTCCCCGTCAGGGCACATTCCTGGGTTGTGGGTTTGGATTCCTGATCAGGGCACATGCCTGGGTTGCAGGTTCAATTCAAGTGAGGGTGAGTACAGGAAGCAGCTGATGGATGCTTTTCACATGCATCAATGTTTCTCTCTCTCACTCTCCCTCACTTCCCCTCTCTCTCTAAAAAAAAAAAATTTTTTTTGTAAAACATCCTCAGTGAGGATTTTTTTAAAAAAGATATATATATATATATATCTTTATATATATATATATCTTTATATATATATATATCTTTATATATATATATATCTTTATATATATATATATCTTTATATATATATATATCTTTATATATATATATATCTTTATATATATATATATCTTTATATATATATATATCTTTATATATATATATATCTTTATATATATATATATCTTTATATATATATATATCTTTATATATATATATATCTTTATATATATATATATCTTTATATATATATATATCTTTATATATATATATATCTTTATATATATATATATCTTTATATATATATATATCTTTATATATATATATATCTTTATATATATATATATCTTTATATATATATATATCTTTATATATATATATATCTTTATATATATATATATCTTTATATATATATATATCTTTATATATATATATATCTTTATATATATATATATCTTTATATATATATATATCTTTATATATATATATATCTTTATATATATATATATCTTTATATATATATATATCTTTATATATATATATATCTTTATATATATATATATCTTTATATATATATATATCTTTATATATATATATATCTTTATATATATATATATCTTTATATATATATATATCTTTATATATATATATATCTTTATATATATATATATCTTTATATATATATATATCTTTATATATATATATATCTTTATATATATATATATCTTTATATATATATATATCTTTATATATATATATATCTTTATATATATATATATCTTTATATATATATATATCTTTATATATATATATATCTTTATATATATATATATCTTTATATATATATATATCTTTATATATATATATATCTTTATATATATATATATCTTTATATATATATATATATACATACACACACACATACTAGAGGCCCAGTGCACTGGGTTGGGCGGCAGGGAGTCCCTAAGCCTGGCCTGCACCCTTTTGCAGTCCAGGAACCCATGGGGGATGTCTGACAGCTTAGCTGTCAGTTGGACATCCTTAGCGCTGCTGCTGAGGTGGAGAGGCTCCTGCCACCACCGTGGCGCTCACCAGCGGTGCTCCCCCTATGGGAGTGCACTGACCACCAGAGGGCAGCTCCTGTATTGAGTGTCTGCTCCCCTGGTGGTCAGTGCATGTCATAGCGACCGGTCATTCTGCAGTTAGGTCGATTTGCATATTAGCCTTTTATTATATAGGACTAGAGACCAGTGCATGAAATTCGTACACAGGGGGTAGGGTCCTTCACCCTGGCCTGTACCCTCTCCAATCCAGGACCCCTCGGGGGATGTCCTACTGCCAGTTTAGGACCGATCCTGGCAGTCAGACATCACTCTTGCAATCCAGGACCTCTGGCTTCTAACCGCTCGCCTGCCTGCCAGCCCGATCACCCCCTAACTGCTCCCTCCTGCTGGCCCAATCACCCCCTAATTGCTCCCCCCTGCCGGCCTGATCGCCTCCTAACTGCTCCCCTCTGCCGGCCTGATTGCCCCTAACCACCTCTGCCTAGGCCCCTGCCACCGTGGCTTTGTCTGGAAGATGCCTGGTTTAATTAGCATATTAGCCTTTTATTAGTATAGACTACAGGCCCAGGGCATGAATTCGTGCACCAGTGGGGTTCCTTGGCCTGGCCTGAGGGATTGGGCTGAAACTGGCTCTCTGATATCCCCCGAGGGGTCCCGGACTGCGAGAGGGTACAGGCCAGGCTGAGGGACCCCACCGGTGCACAATTGGGGCTGGGGAGGGAACGCAGGAGGGCTCCAGGGTATGTCCGACCTATCTCGCTCAGTCCTGATCGGCCGGACCCCAGCAGCAAGCTCACCTACCAGCCAGAGTGTTTGCCCCCCTGGTGGTCAGTGCATGTCATAGCAAGCGGTTGAGCAGCCTTAGCATATCATTAGCATATTACACTTTGATTGGTTGAACAGCTGACCTGACACTTAGCATGTTAGGCTTTTATTATCCTATCTAATAAAAGACAAAAAGGGTAATTAACCGTACCTCCTTTACGCTTCCCATTGGCTAATCAGTGAGATATGCAAATTAACTGCCAACCAAGATGGCGGCTGGCAGACACGCAGCTGAAGCAAGCAGGAGGTTTGCTTGCTCCAGTGATGGAGGAATCCAAGGTTCCCTGCCTGCCGCGGCCCGGCTCTGAGCTCCAAAAGCAACAGCTCCAAAAGCAGCAGAGTTTCAATTATAGAAGCCAAACAAACCCCAGATACCTGCTTTCAGCCAGCCACGGCCTCAGAGCTGGGAGCGCCAGTGAAGGCAACAGAGTTTCAATTATAGAAGGTAAATAAATCCCAGAATAAAAAAAAAAAGAAAAAAAGGAGAGGCTGGGAGCTTCAGTTGCCCGCCAGCCTGAAAACGGCCCTCAGCCCCTCACCCAGATTGGCCAGGCACCCCAGTGGGGACTCCCACCCTGAAGGGGGTGTGGCCAGCCTGAAAACAGCCATCAGCCCCTCATCCAGGCTGGCCAGGCACCCCAGCGGGACCCCCACCCTGATCCAGGACACCCTTCAGGGCAAACCAGCCGGCCCCCACCC